CAGAGCAAAGACGTCAGTTTGACAGCTAAGGTATGCCTGATCCAAGCCATGGTATTTTCAAAAGCCTCATATGTATGTGAAAGTTGGACACTGAATAAGGAAGACAGTAGAAGAATCAATGCATTTGAGTTACGATGTTGGAGAAAAATATTGAAAGTACCATGGACTGCTAGAAGAACAAACACATCTTTGTTGGAAAAAGTAAAACCAGAATGTCCCTTGGAAGACAGGGTGGTGAGACTTTGTCTCTCATATTTCAGACATATTATCAGGAGAGACGAGTCCCTGGAAAAAGGCATCATTCTCAGTAAAGTGGAGGGTCAGTGAAAAGAGGAAGACTACCAATGAGATGAATGGGCACAGTGGCAGCAGTAATGGCCTCAAACGTAGCAGTGATTGTGAGGTTGGCGCAGGACCGGGCAGTGTTTCCTCTTGTTGGGCATAAGGTTGCTATGAGTCAGAACCAACTCAATGGCACCTAACAACAAAGTCATTGTGCTGATTCTGACTCATGACAATCCCATATATTTCAGAGTAGAAGTATATTCCACAGGGTTTTTAATGATGGAGCCACAAGATGTCTCTGCGTGGACATGATCCTCCAACATTTTGGTTAGATGGTGAGTATATTACCTACTGATTTGTACCACCCAAGGATTGCCTTAGTCTTTTATCTTCTGTCTCTCTCTCTTCTTGTAGATGAGAAATAGTTTTGCTGAATTTAAATAGTTACCTATGTAACATTTCAGGCTTGGGAACAGTTCTATTATTCTATATATTTTGCTTTCAATTTCTGAAGTCTGCAAAAGTAGTATTTCTATATATTGTTTGTCAATTTTTGGACAATGAATTTTAATTATTTAAACATGGAACTAAGTGTGTGTGTTTGTCTATCTCTCTGGTGAAGGTATGAAGGTTTTCTCTTCAAGAGTAAGTTACATCCGTGGTAGCATTTATAAGAGGAAGTCTCACCGTTAATTCAGCTCCTAACTGCAAAGTCATTTAGATTTATTGAGGAATTTTGAAGTCCAACACAAAACAACTGCAGTACAAAGAGACAGACTATTCAATGGCTATTTTTTTTTTTTTTTACAAGATGTCTAAAACCCTAAACTTCTTATAAAATGTCTCTTAGTACCTGTTATTTCTGAAGTTGTTGAGTGAAAACCAAGTTTTAAGCACAAAAGGAAAAAGCGTTATACTTGGTGAGAAAAAAACCGACTCAAGAATTTCTGCAAAAGAACTTAGTGAATTTTAATTGATTCTTTGAAGTTCTTCTTGAATGACTGAATTCATTGTCTAAAGATTCCAAATAAGGAGTTGGAATTTCCCACTCTCTGCCTTACTACTGGGTCATAGGCCCAATCCTCAAAATAACTGGTATTACCAGGCCTCTGTGGTAGCGTGGGGCAGAGATTTTAATACAGGTTCTAGTTTCTCCTTCATTGACTAAAATTGTAGGTGTTTTTGTTTTGCTTGAAATCCTCCTGGTTGTACTGTTGGTTAACGCTGGTGTTAACTCACTTGGATATGGACGAGACGTTGGTAGAGAGCAGCTTGTCATGGTTCCTCTCTCTTCTTCCTCTTTTCAGGCAGAGTACCCACTTTGCTCAAGTGTTCACCTTCCTGGCTGTCTGCTTAGAGTTTAAAAGGTAGTGGTTACGAATCGGGCTGCTAACCTCAGGGGCAGCAGTTTGAAACTACCAGCTGTTCTGCGAGAAAAGGATGAGGCTTTCTGCTCCCATAAAGATTTACAGCCTGAGAAACCCTGTGCAGGGTCACTGTGAGTCGGAACCGACTCCATGGCACGTAACAATAACAACAACATTCTCCAGGACTGATCATGCAGATGACGCAGGACCAGCAACTTCTGTTTTGCATCAGTTCACTATGAATCAGTCAACTGAATGGCAACTAGCAACAACAAACCCTCCAGGACAGATGGTGGTGGTGATCTGTGCAGTAGTCATCAGCCTCTAACGGCTGATCATGAACTGATGCCTGCCTTTTCTGTGATGAAGACATTTAGGTGGTTCAAAGGGTTTGCAGGTGTGGCGCTGTGGGTTAAGGCGCCAGACTGCAAAGCCATTTGAACTGCAAAGTCGGCAGTTCAAGCTCACCAGCTGCTCCTCAGAAACCCTATACAGGGTCACTATGGGTTGGAACCAACAACAACAGCTAACTATATGTGTTGGAAGAAATGCAGCCACAGTGCTCCTAGGAGGCCAGGATGGCCAAACTTCGTCTCTCATACTTCAGACATATTGTCAGGAGGAACCAGTTACTGGAGAAGGATATCATGTTTGGTAAGGTGGAGGGTCAGAGAAAAAGAGAAAGACCCCCACTGAGATGGATTGGCAAAGTGGCAGCATCAATGGGCTCAAGTGTGGCAATAATTGTGAGGTTGGCCCAAGATCGGGCAGTGTTTCATTCTGTTGTGCATAGGGTCGCTATGAGTCGGGACTGACTTGATGGCACCTAACACCAACAACACTAACTATATACACTGGACTGCAAAGTCCACTTGAACCGGGAAGCCTGTGGGTTCAAGTTCACCAGCTGCTCCTTGGAAACCCTATACAGAGGGGTCCCTATGGGTCAGAACCCAACTCGACGGCACTTAACAACAACAAGAACACTAACTATAATCTTAGGGAAGGAACCCTGGTGGTACAGCGGTTGAGCACCTCACTGCAAACCCACCGACTTCTGTGTCGGGGGAAGATGTGGCAGTCTGCTCTTTCAAGCACGTTGCCATTGATTCTGGATCATAGTGACTAGAATCATCAGAGAAGGAGTGCCCATAAGATTTCCCAGGCTGTCATCTGTAAGGGAATAGATTTTGTTGTTGTTAAGTGCCATTGAGTTGGTTCCAAGTCATAGGGAGCCAATATAGGGTTTCCAAGGAGCACCTGGTGAGTTTGAACTGCCAAATCTTGTGGTTCAAACTGACCTTGTTTGTCCTAGAGTGCCACACCAGAAGTCTAAGGATGTAGATTGTTGTTGTTGTTGTTAAGTGCCGTCGAGTTGGTTCCGACCCATAGCGACCCTGAACAGGGTTTCCAAGGGTGTAAATCTTTATGGGAGTAGACAGCCTCATCTTTCTCCCGCGGAGCGGCTGGATAGCCAGGTCTTTGCTCCCTAAATTGCTGGTAGATTAGAACCACTGACCCTTCAGTTAGCAGCACTTAACCCCTGTGTTGGAGTGCTGGTGAGGCATTGTGGGCTAAGGCATCAGACTGCAAAGTCATTTGAACTGCAAGGTCGGTGGTTCAAGCTCATGAGCTGCTCCTTTGAAACCCTATACAGGGTCGCTATGGGTCAGAATTGACTCCACGGCACTTAACAACAACAACAAACCCCTGTGTTACTAGGAAGCTCAGTTCTTCTCTGTAACACATAGGGACATCGTGCATCAGAATCTACTGAAGACTGGGTTTGGTGTTTTTGGTATGTCTGTGATGGGTTTGGTGAGAAACTCACCTTCTAGGAGATAGCTAACCCTCTTCATGGGGCTGACATGGTCCAGCCTTGAATCCCTTCTGATACTGACAAAGTTCCCAGGTCCCCTCCAGCCAGCCTTTCACATGACCTCCCACTAGATTCTTCCCTCTCACTCTACCAAGCTGTTTGGATTAGAGCTCTGGGCATTAAACCCTTTGGGGAAATCCCTACTAGGGCTCCTGCTGGGAAGTCCCAAATGGAGAGAACAAAAGGATCAGACCTGGCCCTGTGTCTCTCTGCTCCATAGTTGCCAATCTGGAATCCCAAACAGAATCTTCCCCACATAGAAAGTTTTCAGAGGAAACTGACTGAGCTACTTATGAGAACTTTATTGAGTAGCTAGCTAGTTGCCAGCAACCTTTACCAGCTTCTGTTTTTTAATGTTCATAAAAGCTACTATTGGTATTTGAAAATCTCTGTGGTTTCTTTCTGTTGCTGAAACAGAAATGCGTTGTTATGTACAGCAGAAACGTACTAGTGTCTGCCTATAATTTGACACACCTACATACGAAGTCTTCTGTTTATAATCTCCCGCGCCATCTCTTTGCCCTCAATTTTATAATAAGCCCATTAATGTGTAACTTTCGCTGGACTATATGATGTTTTTAAAGTAGAGTTAAGTTCTTGTAGTTGCTTTCTGGGGTAAAAAAAGAGATTGCTTGGAAATGACACCAAGAAAGAAAAGCTGGGTAGTCAGTGAAAGCAACATTCAAAATGTGAAACTAGAAAAAGTGCCTCGATTCTGTTAGATAAATGTTTGCTCTCTGAAGTCCCTGGCCACCTAGCCCTTTAGCGATACAGACGTCTATGCTCTGCCCGTGACTTGTAAGAAAACCTGTTCTGGAAATCTGTTGTTGTTTTTTTCCGGGCGCGGTGATTATCCGATGGCACACCTCACCTCGTCGATGTTTCTGGCTCACAGTTTGAGGCTTGAATAGGAATGCGCATTTGGCGCCGCGGGGTGGGGCTGGGAGAAGAGGAACCACGTCCCCGACACCAGACACCAGACACCAGAGGAGACTGGGGACCAGGAAAGCCGTGGTGGGGGACCTGCGGCGCGTTCCCTTCCCGGTGAGGCGGGGCGACGCGGGAGGCACAAGTCCTGCTCTCAGAGAGCGAGGACCTGGACACCCCCTGGCACCCAGTCCCCTCCGGGGTCTGCACTCTTGCGCCACCCTCGGCGGCGTCTTTAAGGCCGCGGTTCCCGCCCCTGCCTCCTCCTACTCCCGCCGCCGGCTC